ATGGCAGGCCGGGCAGCACGGACGCTCTGGCACTGTCAGTATGATGCCGGTGTTCCGTATCTCCTCTCTCCTGATGCGGGCACTGTGTCACATGCCCCGCCCCCTTCAGACCGTGTGGCCAGCATGGTGTTGCGCTCTGGCAGCACTACAATGTATAAGGTAAGTCACTGGGTCGGTGAGGGGGGCCCAGAAACTGCACACGGTGTGCTGTGATTTCTTTTAGAGAAATTGATTATAATAGGGAACATTACAGTGTAATGTTCCCTATTATAATCAATTTCTATATCCCAGTGCTGAATTAAATATTGCACTCCAGTGCGTTGCTACATGAAGGGTCCAGTGCTTTGCTAAGTGAAGGGTCCAGTGCATTGCTAAGTGAAGGGTCCAGTGTGCTGCTAAGTGCAGAGTCCAGTGCATTGCTAAGTGCAGGGTCCAGTGCATTGCTAAGTGCAGAGTTCAGTGTGTTGCTAAGCGAAGAGTCCAGTGCGTTTTTAAGTGCACAGTCCAGTGCGTTGTTACGTGAAGGGTCCAGTGCGTTGCTACGTGAAGGGTCCAGTGCGTTGCTAAGTTCAGGTTCCAGTACGTTTCTAAGTGCAGAGTCCAGTGCATTGCTACATGCAGGGTCCAGGGTGTTGCTAAGTGCAGGGTCCAGTGCTTTGTAGAGTCCAATTCATATACTATTCTGCATTGCTGTATAATGTATTGCTGGGATTTGTAGTCCCTCTACAGCTGATGCCTTTCTGCATTAGAGTTTCAGCTCCTCTGTACAGAGACTGATGTGACTGGCTCAGTGTTCTCTGTACAGCACTGCAGTATATGTCAGTGATATATAATGTATTATAATATTGTGTGACTGTGGGGGGCATTAGAGTGTAAGCTCCTTTGAGGCAGACACCACTGGGGGGAGTTTGGGGGTCCAGTGAGATCTGCTTCCGGGCAACGCCCTTTGGTAGCTGGGTGGGCCCGAGAAAAAAATCTTGCACCAGGGCTCTTTGTTCCTTAGGTCCTCCACTGGATATGATAGCAATTCCAGTTGCAGGCTGACAATGAGAAATCACAGGTCAGAATTAGCAGCAGCCTGCCATATGAGCTCCTTCTGTTGGCCTTTGGTCTGCTAATTTGCTAGATCTGATAGGCAGACCAACAGCCAAGAGAAGGAACTTGCACTGCAGTCTGACAACCCTGCTGTGAATGGTTGCATAGTGTTGTCAGCCTGCAACAAGAAGTGACCCACACAGCTTCACTGGTTGCTAAAACACTAGTGGGGGTCATTTACTAAAGAGCCAAAGGATATAGCCGTAGCTTCGGCTAATCCTGTAGCTCACTTCGGCCACCAGAGCCCTTTGGTTCAGCCGAACAGAAGGTCTGCTGTACGGGCTGAACACACAGCCGAAGCAGACAGTTCTCCCCGCAAATGAAAAAAAAAAAGCGTAGGAGTCCCCCTCCTGATCAATACCAGACCCTTTAGGTCAACAATCGCCCCGCCCTCAGTGTGCCATACCAGGCCACATGCCTTTGGCATTGGGACAGTGCTTTTCCAGGGGCCTCCAAATTTAATAAAGGGGCACCCAGATGCTGCCCCCCTCTTGTGAATGAGTAGGGGTACTTGTACCCCTGCTCATTCACGAAAGGGTTAAAGTAAAATGTAAAGAAAAACACTAGACTTTTAGAAAAAAATCCTTTAATGAAAGAAAAACACAACAAAAGTTTGACAAGTCCTTTAATAAAACCCCCAAAAATGGATTTTTAAAACTTTTTTAACATGTAATTTTTAAAAATTATTTTATTATAACCGAGATGAATGCTGCTCGGTGGCATTCGGCTATTCACTCCCTGCTGTTCAGCCCCTATGAGAATAGGGACGATGGCAGCGAGTGAACTGCCGGATGTTCGGCTCAGCCGATCCAGATGTTGGTTCGGCTGAGTCGAACAAGTTCTTCACTTCAGCTCAGTTGAACGTGCTGAGCATGTGCGGTTGAACCGAAGTGAGTCAAAGCCAGCCGTACTCAGCTGAAGTGAATAGCCGAATGGGGTTCGGCTCGGTTATTCACTCGGCTGCCTGCGGCAGCTTAGTGAATGACCCTCTGGTGACTCCATAGCATCAGCGGGCAACAGGAGCTCTGCTACAATGTGAAGTTTTAACAAATAGACCAACCAACAGGTATGTACAGTCTGAAACTGCTTTGTTCCCGGGCTAATATTTTTCTAGCTTTGTTTATCCTGTGACAGGGTCACTTTAAAAGTTCCTTAAGTGACTTCTATGTTAGCCTATTACAGATTCCTGAACTTTTCCCTGATGTGCACAAAAGTCTCTGATCCACCGCATGCCTCAGAGTTATGTGAAGTCAAGTGAAACGTTATTGTTTGAATAGAAATAGAAACCCGTGAGTCACAAAGTTCCGGAAAATGTACAAGCAGACGTAAATAACTGCTGTTTTTTCTGTAACAATTTCATACACAAATTATTCCAAGCTTAAGTATTCTCTCTTATAGCAAATATGTACCACAGAAACAACATTTAAAGAGTTCTGCTAGAGTGGGAAAGACAGGTCAAAATCTTCACTAGGTTTGTCGTGGTCAGACAGTTGTCACAGTGAGAACCATCTATGTGTCCTCTAACTTGTTGGTGGAGCATCAGGACCCATCCTGACTGTCTTCCCAACAAGGCTTTGTGAATTAGTCATGCACCAGCTGAAGGACTGCTGTTCCCTTATCCCACAGAAAAGTGAATGATCACTGCACAGAGATCATACAACTAGTTGGAATTTAATGTATATGACAAAAATTGTTCTGGGAGGGCTTGATATCGCCCTGTAAGGAAAACACACATTAAAGGATCTTTATCTGATCGTCAGAAGCATTATTTAAAGTAGGTAATTGCTGAGATTAAAATGTCTTTCTACTTTTGCAATATAATTTGACAAAATTCTCTCAGTTGAAATCTTCTTTAATGCTGGGTGTGTCTGTGCATTGAGACCCCATAAACCTAAATAGGTGTTTAGAGAGTCCTAGATCTGCACCTGAACTGGGTGCTGCTGCCAGTACACTGGACCTGTGATCCTGCAAGTACCCAGAGCTAGAAAAACATTTGTTCAAAAGCCTCGATATTTAAGGTATGCTACTGGATGTAGTGAGGTTGGATCTATTTGAAGTAGTATTAAACTCTCAAACTTTTATACAATAATGAATCCAGATCAAACAAATATACATTGCCCAGCAAAGTATTGCTTTACATTTTGACCAAATGGTTACAATCATCATGTTTCAGAAAAGCTGCTTCCAAGTCTCTCAACTCAGCTTTCCTGAACTTCCTTTCCATTACAAGATCACAAAGGACTGAAGAGCAGACTCCAGCAGCTGTTCATCTACTAGCTTGGAGTAGGGAGGTGAGGGGAGCACGGAGGAGGGGAGTAGCTTGATTTGCTTTGTCTGTGTATTTGTGGAGACACACACAGCTTACTAGCACACACGTGGGTGACTGCATAGCACTCTGCTTGAGAAAGGAGTCACTCTAAAACAGGATTTCAGGGCCAGTGCTCGGGGGATCAGCTGATTCTACAGGAAACTAAAACTTTTAAACATCAAGGAGCAGCATTCATTGTAAGTAATTTCATCAGCATTTGAAATAGCTTAAAATCCTTTTAACTTTAATATGACTTTTGTGACTGAAGCCCCCTTTTTTAAAGCATATTTCTAACTTGTATTAACATACAATGTACCACCCAAGCTTTGAAGCATTTAACCCTTTCTTGGGACAGACAGTGCTGCACACCTAGTTTATAACTGTTAATGGATATCTGCCAGCACAGTAGACAGGGTTAATTATGGCAAACATAACCCACCCCCCTTCTTTACATCACATTTAGGGGGTGAAAGCTGAATAAGCTTTTTTATCAAGCAAAAGCCAAGTAAAAAGATAACCAGAAATGTTTGAATATTATTTTAAAGGTATGCTATGTGCAGGCATCCCAACCTGATAAAAGTTATTTCAGAGAGGTGCCCTTCTAATTTCAGGGAGGTGCCCCCCCACCCGCGGGGGGGGGGGGGCACCATCCTGAAATGATAGCAGATAGCAGAGAAGCTAATGCCTACCTTGCTATCTGCTGAGTTTTTTTTATTCTGACACCTGCTGCCATCAGAATAAAAAAAAACAAAAAACAATGGACAGCATGGGAATAAATAACTAGGCTGCTATAGGCTATTTCAATTTGCTATAGCCAACAGGAGGACCTGATGGAGAACTTTAGGTCCACCTCTGCTGATTGACAGCAGCAGTGGGCAGGTGCAATAGCCAGTCTGCTGTTGGCTATTGCAAATTGAAATAGCCAATAAAAGCCTAGCTATTCATTCCTATGCTGTGTTTTTTTTTTAACTCTCACTGACGGCGGACAGCGGCCCGATGTAAAAAAGACCAAAACAGATAGCACGGAAAGGTTAACTCTGCAGAGTAAACCTTTCCAGAAAAAATGTTTCTCTCCTGGGCATCCGGGAGCCGCTATCTTATAGTGGAAGACTCCTGGAACGTCCGGGAGAGTTGGGATGACTGTATGTGAATGAGAACATGCAACAAATATAAAGTAAGTGTTATCTGAATTTGGCTACCAGCATGGAAATACACTTTAAGGATAAAGAAGATGAAATCCCAAGGCACAGTGTCAAAGGATTTTTTTTATATCTAAGGAGCACAGTGGGGAGTTTGCAAGAAGACTGTGCTTCATTCCAACTGGTTAAAAGTCAGACACTTGAAATAAAATAAATAAATCTACAAATGTATTCCTGCTAATTATGTGAATAATGAAATATGGTATACAACACCACGGTCACCATAGCAACCCAGCAAATTATACCTACAGGCTATGACAGTAGCACAGTGGTTATTTATCAAACAGTACCTCTATGTATGTGTTATTATGAGTGGAATTTGAAGGATCAGCAGGGAATTATCTTGCATATCACTTGAGAGTGTTTTCTGTTCTAAATTGTAATTAATATCTACTCACAGCTGCATGACCAGATACAAATGACTGGGACTCTCATAGATATCTTCCAAGGCAACGATGTTCTCATGCTTGATTCTGCAAAAGAAAAAAAAAACAAGCAAATGAGCTGCTTGGTAAATCACTGACTATAACAAACGAGTCTACCTGACATGAAAGAATTAATAATCACTGTTATTGTTTAATTGCAGCTTTCCCATATTACCAGGTGGGTTGTTCCAAGAGACTAATGGTGACATGGTAAAACATTTTTTAAAGTTGCTCTTTTTTTAATAGCTTGTGCTATGTATAGGTGTAATCTTATATGATGCAGGATTATTGTCAATATTAGAAAGAAGATCACCCTAGGGTCCTTAGTGGATGATACCCTAATCTGCCGACTTAAAGCATATCTAAACCCAAAAACTAAATGTAATATACAGTACTGTAGCATTCTAGACCTTAGTTGTGGTGGCTGCTTTAGTTCTCTTTTTTTATTTATTTTCCTTTCTTTTCACCTGGTGATCCGGCCAGTAACACACTCCCTGTCTTAGGGTGGCTTCACTCTATGGAGGAGCAATGGAGCCACCCCTGGACATCAGCATTTTAATCCTGTGGTAAGGGTAGTGTTAGATGCACTGGAAGATTTAGCTGAAATGAAATCTGAATTCCAGCTAAGACTTTTTAAGCAATTGCGTCAATAGTTTATTTTTTTACTTGTAGAATAAGGGTTTTATATAAAGAAATAAAAGCGAGCCATTGTTTGTACCCATGTCAGCGTTAATGGTTTGTCTCAATCCTCTAACTGCAACTTTGGCCGGACAGCTTGGCCTAGTAAAAAATCATCAGGTCAAAATAAAGGAAAAAAAGTCTAATCGATGAAAACTATTGCAGCCACCACTTGTAAAGCCGAGTATACACAGTTCGATTTTTTTTTCCCGTTCAACCTGCGTGCTGTACGAAAGAAATAGAACAGATCCCCTGCTGTTTCTATTGCATTCTGAAAGCGGCCAGCGGCTGATTGGCTGCTAGCTCCAAAAGTGGCAACCATGCAGCTAATTTTATCAAGAATCAGTTGAAATTCACTACGTGTATTGGTAAGCTGCTATATATTAATTTTTCGATTTTGTGTTTAGATATGCTTTAAATGTCCTGCAACCTAAAACCCATCTCTATGCAAAACATTTTTGTTAGTACTTCTGTCAGATTTTTTTTGCTGCTTGTAAATCACCGAGGTAGATTTCCTTTCACTTTTTATCTTTGTGACACCAGGACTAAATTGAGTAGGAACAGGGGTCACTGGAACAGGAGAGTTTGCAGTTGCAGTTTGCTTTTGATACTAATTGTGAAATTAATTATAATATCAAACAGAAATTATAGCAAAAACAAAGCTTTTTAAAAGCTTTAACATCGAGTTCCATGTTACACCCATATTGACCGTGTAATGTGCATGGTACTTGAATTGTGGGGTGCTTCTCAATGCAGGCTCCTATATACATCTGCTTCATTCTTTAGCAGGTCTAGTCACAGGACCACTGGGACAATTAGTTCTCTATACTGTACAAGTGTTGTGCCACCACTCATAACTTCCTTCAGCCCCATAACCTTGGCTCGGACAGGGACGTTAGGAATAGTTTGCAGGAGCATAACCATTACACCTGCAATCCACTGATCACAGTTACAGGCTCCAATGTACAAAATGAATAAATGTGCATTTGTTCATTTTAAATTATGGTTGCATTTGTTAACATGTTTAACATTCTTTGGCTTTGAAGGTTAAAGGATGTGGGCCAATGTATATATTTCTCTTTTTTAATACTGGCACTCAGCATTTTTAAATACACAAAGAAAAAGGCACAACGTGTATAAATGTTAAAATGATTTTGCTCAGTAAGCAGATATAAAAAATCCCATGGAGCAACATATGGATAAGGTAAGTGGATCTCGGCATACTGTATAAAATATGCAAATATGTTCTAGTCACAGTGTTGCAAAATAACAGTTTGTTTATGACTGGCAAAGTCTAACTGGCAGGCATATACAAATCTAAGTATGCTATCTATCTCTGCAGTTCTGTTTGAAGAAAGCTGCCTGCCTGTATTCTGCCTACAGCTGACAGCATGAAATGTGGGCATGAAGCTCGACTAGTCTTACTCCTGAGATTCCTCATGCAGCATACAACCATCCACCCACAAGTGTGGAGAAAGTGATCATCATCTGGGAGCGAGACAGTATGCTAGAATTGGCTGCTGAGGAACAGGAACATTATAAATCTTCACATTTATTCCACAAACACAAAAATGCTGTTCCTGGCTATAGGTTGATTAATGTGGTCATTCCTTGTCCCTTTCCTTTATTTGTGTTAATGTCATGGTCACTAACAGTTGCTGTGACCCTCCCTTGACATAGTTGAGGCCAATTTTAGTCTAATCTTGGTTGCTCTCTGACTGCATCAGCTGTCATCTTTGTTCTGTACTGTCCAGTCTCTGTATCTAGTGGTTGTCACACACATGTATAGTGGACAGTCTTTGGCATGTGTTAAAAGTGGTGCTTGTACATTGTCTTGACATTGCTGAAACCCTATCAACATCAGTTCTTAAAAAGTAAACTGAGCCTACTGGCTCAGGACAAATGAACAGTTCTTTGATATACCATGTTCCCCCTTTGATCCACCATGCCATGTTCCCCCCTTCTTTAATATATCATGTTCCCCTTTGATACACCATGTTCCTTCTTTGATACACCATGTTCCCCCTTTGAAATACCATGTTCCCCTTTGATACACCATGTTCCCCCCCTTTGATACATCATGTCCCCCCTTTGATACTCCGTGTTTCCCCTTTGATACACCATGTCCCCCCTTTGATACACCATGTTTCCTCTTTGATACGCCATGTTCCCTCTTTGATACACCATGTTCCCTCTTTGATATACTATGTTCCCTCTTTGATACATCATGTTCCCTCTTTGATACATCACGTTCCCTCTTTGATACATCACGTTCCCTCTTTGATACATCACGTTCCCTCTTTGATACATCACGTTTCCTCTTTGATACACCATGTTTCCTCTTTGATACACCATGTCCCCCCTTTGATACACCATGTTCCCTCTTTGATATACCATGTTCCCTCTTTGATATACCATGTTCCCTCTTTGATACATCACGTTCCCTCTTTGATACATCACGTTCCCTCTTTGATACATCACGTTTCCTCTTTGATACACCATGTTTCCTCTTTGATACACCATGTCCCCCCTTTGATACACCATGTTCCCTCTTTGATATACCATGTTCCCTCTTTGATATACCATGTTCCCTCTTTGATACATCACGTTCCCTCTTTGATACATCACGTTCCCTCTTTGATACATCACGTTCCCTCTTTGATACACCATGTTCCCTCTTTGATACATCAGGTTCCCTCTTTGATACACCATTTTCCCTCTTTGATATACCATGTTTCCTCTTTGATACATCATGTTCCCTCTTTTATACACCATGTTCCCTCTTCGATACACCATTTTCCCCCTTTGATCTACCATTTTCCCCTAAAATACAGCATCCACACTACACCACGTACAGCAGACACATTCACTTTTATTGCTCCTCCTTATCTGCCACATGAGCATTTAGGAGTCTGTAGGACGGGGCCTGGACACCATACTGGTGTTACAAGTGCATATACATTGAACCTTCATTTATACACAGTTTCATAGCTGCACTAATAAGAGGGCTACAGTGTTTAACGTGGCATAGATAGAGAGAATAAAGATAGATAGATAGATAGATAGATAGATAGATAGATAGATAGATAGATAGATAGATAGATAGATAGATAGACCCACTAGCAGATTTTTCAGCATTTTTTTAAAGCAGGCTATGACACTGAAGCTCAGGAAGCAATGCCTTTAAGACTTGTATGTACATTAGGCAGCAAGGAGCAAGCCACATACACACATTATTTGTCATGCCTTAAGGTTTGTAACTTTGCCAGAGAACTGAAGAAGCAGGCAGTACATTGAAAGATGCAGCATCTGACATCAAAGACCAGCTCTGCCGTGAGGAAAATAACTGCACTGTGCTAATCCCTTTAGTCTCCACAAAACGTTTCACTGCCGAATATATTTGCGGGGCATCCAATCTCCATTTCTTATGACTATGGCCATTTAACCCATTTGAGTGGAAGATTAGAGGAATAAAGATAGAAATAAATAAGGATAATTACATTTGTACAACTAGGCGACAGATGAGACAATGGATGTATCTTAGAAGTACACATGTGTAAACAGGCCGTCACCCCTGTTACCACTCCCATTTTCATAATAATGCAGGAGAACAATAAAATATAGAGTATAAACAGTATAAAAAAAAAATTAAAGGCAACCAACAGCCTTTCCATAAAATGGCAATATCCCAAGGGTAGTCTGCAGCACTGCTCAGACAGTCTGATATTTCTCAACCATACATGTACTGTATAAGACAACCATGCAGCTACTGGAAAACTGACATCTTATACCTATACATGTCACTACCTCTTTGATATACCATGTTCCCTCTTTGATATACCATGTTCCCTCTTTGATATACCATGTTCCCTCTTTGATACATCACGTTCCCTCTTTGATACATCACGTTCCCTCTTTGATACATCACGTTCCCTCTTTGATACATCACGTTTCCTCTTTGATACACCATGTTTCCTCTTTGATACACCATGTCCCCCCTTTGATACACCATGTTCCCTCTTTGATATACCATGTTCCCTCTTTGATATACCATGTTCCCTCTTTGATACATCACGTTCCCTCTTTGATACATCACGTTCCCTCTTTGATACATCACGTTCCCTCTTTGATACACCATGTTCCCTCTTTGATACATCAGGTTCCCTCTTTGATACACCATTTTCCCTCTTTGATATACCATGTTTCCTCTTTGATACATCATGTTCCCTCTTTTATACACCATGTTCCCTCTTCGATACACCATTTTCCCCCTTTGATCTACCATTTTCCCCTAAAATACAGCATCCACACTACACCACGTACAGCAGACACATTCACTTTTATTGCTCCTCCTTATCTGCCACATGAGC